CGGGGCGTTTTTAACCAGATGTGCAGAGTCTCTTACCAATGCCAACCCTATACATTCTTTTCAGCAGATCGGTACATTTAGCTCCTACCTGCCTGGGACGTTTTGCTGCCTTACCCCTCATCTGGCACTGCGGGGCGTTAAGAGTAATGAATTACAGCGCACCAGAGACGGTCCTTAACGCACAAGGCAGCGGCCGTTAAACTCTCATCTACAATGCCATGGGAAGCGGTCTGCAGCTGGCACACACAGCCGTACTAGGACAAGTGTTTCTGGTGAAAACAAGAGGTAAGTGTTCATCGTAGCATCTTTGCGGTTGCCCCCCAAAATCTAAGTGTATATGTTTCAGGGAATACGGAGGCATGAGGTGCAAAAAACAAATACAAAGGGACACACAGCAGATGCAGGAGAGCAGCACCCTGGTTGGCCAAGCCAGCACCCTTGTTTAGCTGCTTGTGACAGAAGCCTCTCAGGTTGCATCCCCACGCTGCCCTTCCCACAGACATCAGGGGGTTTAGCCCGTAAGAGCCAGGGTTTGCTATTTCAGAATTCCTTGAGATGCTTCAAGACCACTCTGCTCACTCCCTCGTGACAAGGTGGCCTAGGACAAGTCTTCACCACGACATTTCCCATAGTGGTGTCTCCTCTGACCCAGACCCACAAAGCCTGTCACCCCTTCCACCTATCTCCCCCCATCCAAGTGGCTCCAGCCATACAAGCCATGTCTCTTGCTCCTCCTGGTCCTTCCCTGGCTGCCTGTATGTTCAGGCACATGAGGTGGACCCCCTTCAGCCTGTGGCATCCTCCACGAGGGCTGCCTTGCTCCTATCACCCTGCCCCAGTACTTACTATGATTGAACCCTCTTCTCTTACTTAACCACAAGCTGTTATCATGATTCCTCAAAAAAACCCCACAGAAGTTTAAAGTTTAAAGCCCACAGAAGGGACTCCCTGCACTCTATCAACCACCACTTCTCAGTGTGAATGCTTGGTTCAGGCCCATCTGGCTCCGAACTCTTCCCTTAATGCAACTTGTTCCTTTCTTTGTCTATTATGGCACCATAGCAATTTTGTAAATTCAGATCCAAGGGTGGAGAAGCTGCCTTTGTTCTGATGCCAGAAGTCACAAGCTTCCAGCTTCACCCCTCTTGGGAATCTCCATCCACTAGCTGTCCAAGCAGGGGCTCCAGCTGTCCCTCCTTACTCCCACTGCATGGTTGGTCTTTTCCTCTACAAAAACCCTTAGGACCTCTTGCTGTCCATCCTCCCTGATACTACAAATCTGCTCACTTCTCCTGTAGCTCTTTCATGGGGCAACTCAGTGCCTTGCCCACAGCAGAGCTCCTGCAGGCAAGGCAAGCCCTGCCCCAGCTCTCGGGAAAGAGGCACCAGGTACTCCCCTGTGGCCTGAGACCTGGCAGCAGCATCCTTCTCCAGGAGCTTCCACCCACATGCCAAGACTGCTTCCCCCAGCTGGCACTGGAGACCAAGCCCTGTGGCACATCCCCATCACTGCTGGGCAGTCCATGCTGCCTGGAGCAGAGTTTCGGGGCCCCTTTCGCACCCACCACCAAAGTCTGTTGGCTGTGTGCCTGCCAACCAGCTGAGAAGGGTGTTCTTAAAGCAGGAGAGAAGAGCCTGACCCTCCCTCAGCAGCACTCAGCTGGCACTTCTGTGGGCCTCCACCTTTGCCTATCTGCCAAGTAGCGTTTTTCCAGGCTGGCCGTACAATGAAGGCTCACGGCGACCTAGAGCTTTTATAAAAACACGGTATTAATTCTTCAAAGACTGCACGTCTTGGGAGCAGAACACTAGGAAACAGTGCTGCTGCACCTCAACACCTATACACAAGTAGCAGCATGTTGTGGTGGAACTGCTGCCCCGGTCTACCTAGGAGTACTAAAATTACCGAATTCTTGCTATGTCAAGACTACCGATTTGCCCTTCGAAGAACTGAGTCACAACTTATTAGAATAAACTTTTATTTACTGCTCTCAGGATCCTTATTTTATACTTTAAAGTATGCAACAAAACCTGCTACATTCAAATCTATACAGATTTACTGATATATCATTCGTGTTTTACAAAACTGCATATAGATTTGGGAAATTTGTATAAGTTACCTTTATTTACATGTAATATTCTCAGCCCTAACGACCTAGTCAAAGAATAAAACAAAGTGGGATTTTAAATATCCCTTAAGACCCATTACATTTGTTACATAATTTACATATCTTTATAGAGAGATGTGCTACACTTCCTCCTTGCATATTTATAAAGACTGTGACTAAACAGAAATTGCTGGCCAAAGCTAGGTACTGTCATTTCTTCAGATCATATTGGTAATAAAATGTTAAAATAAGAGCAAGCCCAGTATATAAATCAATTTTTTTTTTCTTAGGACCAACTTTGCTAATCACTTTAACCAGCACTTGCTCAAAAAAAGTGTTAATACAAAAAATACCCACATTTACAAAAGAAATCAAACTAATATTTATATGACAAGTTGATCTACAATAAATTGCACATTGTTGATTATGACTTTGGTTATACTGTATTAACAAGTTTGGTTTCTAGACTAACAGTGGAGAAAAAATATAAAAAATGCAGCTATAGAAGCTAGCATAACCTGTAAACATATTACAGAACCAAATTCTGCACCTGGTTACATGTGCATAACCTCCATGCAGTTCAGAGAAGCTTGCACATATCAGACTACCGAATTTGGCCCAGAAAACCCTGTAAACATGTTCTTTGTTGTTATGTAGTGCAATACTGCGAGAATGGATAATCAAGGCCTCTAACTACCAGTAACTAATACTGAGTGATATCCATACAAATTTCACTTTCATTTGTTGCAAAAGGCTGAATTGAAAATATTATCCATTGTTGAACTACAAATTTATCAAAAAAAGCAATGAACACTCAATAAACCAACAACAGTATACAAATTCAGACAAAAAAAGGATATAATTTCTCATTACAATTCAGAATTATGCTGCTTGTCTGTTTTATATAAAAAACCTGGTTTTGTTACACTGTTTTAACAAAAGCAAGTTAGAAACAGAAATCTAACAAATAAAATGTGTCAGCAAGTCAATGTTCTGCAAACTGATGGCTGATAATACAAACAAATGCCTTCCGATGTGTTACCTAATATGCTGAATTATAAGGTGCTTTGGGCAGATCTGTAGCAAACAGCCTGAAGCAGCACAGATTATGATTTTGCATTACATGAAGTTTGTTGGGTTTGTTTGTTTTTTAAAAACAGTTTAACAATTTCAGTTGTTCCTCTCAAAGCAGCAATTCAAATTTACACCCTCTGCAAAGATTTCTTCACAGTTTTACTTCAGTAGTTTACCGCAGGACAGTCTGTCAAATACTGTAGAAGAGGCAACTGCTTAAAAACATTTTAGGTTTTTTTACTTACTTGGCACTGGCCCATCCAATGTGTATATTGTAGTTATTAGCAAAGTACACAAAACTGTGGAAATGGCAAAATACATTTTCAAAAGTTAGTGACTTTTTAATATTTACTTATTTTACAAGTAATACTATGAAGATTCAATAGCTATGTGACTAAATACAATGGTAGTCCCTGGAAAATTCAAATTTGTTTGTAAACCCTCAAAAAGAAATTGCAGCACTGGACCGATACAATTTTTGTCTGTGTCTTAATCAACCCCATCAAAACCCTGAGTATTTTCAATTGCTAGAAGAAGTTTATCCCATAAATCTTCAAACGAGTCATATGGAGGCAAATCCAAGCGATTAAAGCTGAAAAACAGATGAAAACACTTAAGTATTTTATCACTCTTACCAAAGGTCATAATTTACCTAAATTAAATACTCACCAGGTATGAGCTCTTGGCAGTTTTTCAGGGGTACCCCACTGTTCAACTGTAAACAACTGTGGCCCATTTGAACCTGCAGAAAATAATACAATCAATGCACAGAAACTATACTTCGTACAAGTCTGGTGAATGAACTAGACAGATGACAGCAGACACTGAGCACTTAATCCTAAAATACTATCAGTGAGACAGTTATGGCAGTAGTTGTGGGAACACTTCTGGCTCCTCTTCTTTACTTTCTTCTTTGCATTACATGTTTCTTCAAAGCAGAAGGCTGGCTAGAAAAGGTAACTAGTAAGAATGCTTGGAATAAGGATGAAGCAGAGAAGCAACTATGACTGACAGTACATTCTACCATGTGACAAGAAGATAAAATTCCCTTTTATTAGCTAGGTAAAAGTTAGCCTGCATTTTAGCTATCCAACTAATAAACTAGAGGCTGACAAAGCAAGGCAGGGGGAAGACAAGAAATAAAAAGAAAACCACGTCTGTTCAGTGTCACAGTTCTCAAACTCGGGTGGATTTGCTCCCGGACACCAGTCCGTCCCTTTTTATGAGCAGCAATGCCTCTCTGGGCCACAAGAGGGGGATCTCCCGCTAGAAAGCCAACTCTAGCACTGCAGCCCGAAGGTGGGAACGGAACAACCACAGGGGCAGCCCGGCAGCAGCAGCAAAAACCCACGTACCAACACGAAGCACTGAAGAACCTACAGTTCTTCAAATACATGCAGGTATTGGAAATGTGACTGTGATCGTTACTGGGATTTAGTGAGGATGGCATGCTGGCCACAGTAAAGCAGAAATAACTGGAAGAGAAAGAAACAAAGCACTGTGCAAGACAACTGCTAATTTAAATTTTTCATCAGCAAGTGAATAGAACTACAGAAACTGGGACCTGGCCAGAAGACTGCTCAAGGATATCCTAATCCCTGGGCAGAAGGGAGGCAAGAGCTTCAATAGCTTCTTTCCCAATATCATTCCTGAGTTCTCTCTCTGGTAGTGTTTTTAGACGAATAAAGAAAAATCCAGAGGCAGCAGAATTCTGATCGGGTTCCACCGCAATGAGCACGTGGGCAGAACTCCAATAGTACCAAGGTTCAGGTGCAATAGCAGACACATGGTTCAAGTCCGCTGAGGGGACTGTCCTTCCCATTGGAACTCACAACTCAATCACTGATGGAACGGAAAAAATTAACCAAGTATTTACGATGAAAATGAAGAGAGGGAGAAATGGGGACACATGGTGGGTGGTATTTGTTCACAATTCTAGTGTTTTATAAACAAATTACTGTCTTGTTTATAAAGAAGGAAATGTTTATTCAAATACACAAGTTAGGCTATTCAGTCATTTGCATAGGATCTCGAGCACTTTTAGCCTTAATAAAGTAGTCTAGCAAAAAACATAATAGCTGATGGCAGCTGAAAACAGACTTCCCATAAGCAAAACACCCCCACCCTTTGTGGGCTGTTCTATCCGCTTGCCCGCAGTCTTTCCACAGTGGGTTTTCTGGCTTTGGTATTAAAGTAAGCTCCGCATTGCCATCTGCTTGTTTCAGTCTCTGCGTTGTAGGTTCACTACTTTTCCTTTGGCATTTTGTTTAACTTGTGTCATTTCAGCGGTCCTCCTTGGAGTATATCCTTATACACAATTCTATCTGTAGCTTGTGAGCAGATAAAAGCAGTTGGGGAACTTACAAGAATCTGAAGTTAACTGCTGATGCCAGCATGTCTTTGTAATCAAATCTTAGACAACTGAGAATTTTCTTCAAGCTCAATCACATGTTAAACGAAGGGATTTTTGCAGCTCTTTAGAACTTTAAAATCCACATTCATTTGAGAAGTCCTACTCATTTTAAAACTTCCAAAACCAGAATTAAAACAAAGTATTCATAGAACATGGGAAATGCATAATCTAAGTGACTCTTCTCTAACTTTGCTTCTTGTAACTGCCAGTATATACTCTTTTAAAGCAAAATTTGAAAAATAACATGCCTATGTTTGAAGTCAAATATCACGACAACATTGGCATCATGCTCTGTTACTGAATTGTGAACATAATCATAAGTACTCACCATACAGCTCAGCAAACCCATTCATAGGTACACGTGATGTGCCAGTAACAAATTGAAGTAATCTTATTCTCTTTTCAGAATCCATCATTAAGACTGCCTATGTACGATAACGATTACAATTAAACATTTATTTTTAATTAAGATTTAAAGCTAGCAGATTTATGCAACATTGTTTCTATCTCTAAGTAATTATCCTTTATATATAAATGCATTTTTTTTTAGCAACAAACATAGTCTACTTCCCTGCCTATTGCTAAAAGTTATGAAGTCAACAATTTTTTTAATGGCACTGTAACAAGAGCATGGTTACTGGCTTAGGAGGCTGTTAAAATACTTCCCTTGAAGATCTGGCCCCTACTTTCTTTGAAGTTTCCTGATGTTATGAACTAGCAGCCAAATTTCTGTAATTTATTAAACAGAAGAGTTTAACACCTCTTTAGTGTAACCATGCCAGAAAAACCTACAAAGAAATATTTTTAACCCCAATCAGACATGGATTTTTTTGTAAAAGCAAGCGTATTTACATTCTTACCAGGCATATCATCTTTAGTTTTCTTACTATCTTTCTCAGGAGTTTTAATGGTCAAATATTTACCTACCTATTGATGAATAAACCAGCATAGCTGAAAGGCAGCAGCTTTTGAACAGTTTTAAAGTAAAAAAAATAAAATAGTAGAACTTCACAGTACCTTCCAGAACCACTGTATTACTTGATGGTTTATGTTGTAGCCATTTTTGTATTTTGTATGTAGTTTCCAATCAGCCACATCCACATCTCCCAGTCCACACATTAATAACTACACAGATTAAAAAAAAAAAAAGAAAAAAAAAAGAAAAAACCCACCAGTTTTAAGTCAGTAACATTAAGTTTCAACATAATTTTTCTTTTGCATGATAGCTTGGATAACTTACCTCTAGCTCATTTTCGTCAAAAATTTTAATCAGATCCTGCGGTATTAGTTCAAAAAAACCCTAAAAAGGTGAGGGAATTTTTTAAAAAAATCAAGTCAACGTTATTTAAGCATTTTTGTTCACTGAGAATGACATTTAGATGCTTTAGTAAACAGAGCCAAAGCAATACATCAAATTCAGATGTTTGGACACCAGCAGTCCCCAGTTTGGTTACAGTACTTTTAATTCTGATTTATCTCACATCTTCATTGTGCTACACTGATTGGTGAATATATTTGTCTGAATATCATATATATGTAATATCATTTATACAAATAAGGATAAACCAGCTAGTTTAATTCTATTAGTTTAATTTTCACTTCTGCAGTTCATTAAATAGTTTGCACTACAGCTAAAGCTGTCAGCCAGGATTGAGAAATAAGTACATTTTTCAATACATATTAAACATCTCAGTAAAAATATACCAAAAAGATTTTTAAGTCTAAAGTAATTAAAAGCTGACACTACAAACAGTATCACTGCCTTTTTTTTTTTTACACCTGGAACAACATTATCTGGGGGTCTTTAGGATGTCCAAAAAAGCTTGCCTTAAGATTCTTAAGTCTTAAGAATGCAACAAATTCTTAGAGTTTCTTTTGTAATTAAAACTATACCTCTTTAAAGGCTGCCATTTGTTTCTGCACTCTGCTCACAAATCTCCACTGAATTACAAGACTGTAAAAAACCAAACACATTTAAAATGAAAGCAATTTATATACAAAGCAACAACTTCCTTTTGTTAACACAACTAACACACAGCCCCTATTACTAGAGAGGCAATCCAGTCAGATACACTGCATGTAGTGACCACTACTTACTGAATGTAGTCTCTCTTGTTCTTGTTGGTGACAACTATTTCTGATCCACCACATTTCAGTTCATGTTGATGGGTCTAAATGCAACACATAGACTAGGTCTTAAATGAGATACATATGTAACAGAATTCATGTGTCAGTATTAGGTAATTCAGTTAACTCTTGAGGACTGCAGAATTTGAAAACTATGAGCAATAGAACCAGTTTCACAGGTCACCTGAATAAATAGAATTTGGTTGATTGTTTTTTTTAAAAATGTATTATTCAGGGATGCCAGCTTGCAATGGGGCAGCCGCCATTTTTTCCTGACCTGCTAGAATAAATCACCAAAGTTTGCACATAACCTCTCAGTAATGTGGACTTCACTAACTGCATATTGAATGACCCAGCCTTTTTCCCAAATCTCAAGGAAAAACACTTACAGAACAATTTCAGCAATGGTCCCAGTAAGTCAATCAAGTGAATCTGTTACATAATGAGTTATACCACTAGAACCTCAGTAGACAAATATCTGATTTTCAGTTCATTACAGATGTACATTTTCACGCTCCTACTTAGGATTACTGAATTACACAAGACCACAAGGGCTATTATCCTACTGAATCTAGTTGGCACCTGTAATTTGGAAATTTTTTTCAAGACCTGTGGAATTTTTACATAACTTATCTTGGATAGCTTTTTACACAACAACAAACTTGTTTATTCCATAGTTTTCTAGTACATCTTAGAGAAAAAAAAGCCCTATTATCTCCCAGTGAAATTTATGATTCCAACCATCAATTCCAGCCAATCACATAAACCCAACCTCTACTCCAGATTAAATAATGGGACTATGGATATCTTAGCCTCAGTTGCATTCACAGCAACAGCTACGTTTCAATCCAAGTGTTATTTAAGAAAAAGGCATGAGCTATATTTTAAAGCTCTGCTTATTTCCAAGTCCTTTATCACATCCCAGCCAGGCTAACAGAGCACTGCATGAGCATGTGCCAGCTAGGAGAAGCAGCTGAGTGAACAAACCAACATGACTGTGAATGAAGGGTTTTCCTTAATACCATACAGATAAAATCAGCTAATTTCACAGGTCAAATGTACATAAACATACTAACCTGACCAAAAAGTTCTTCATCAACTATAAATCTGAGGTCCAGCTCTGTTGGATCATTTTCAAGAATCCATCTCAGAGAATTGTAATATTCACTATCCTAAGACAGAGAATTACCAAATAGTAAATACAAAGTAGAGTAGCCACCTTTTAAGCTACAAGAGGCTCTGTTACAGCCCAGTGAATGCTGCTACCTAGGATCATCCTGTATTGGATACAGAGACTCTGCAATTGTACAAACCTACAGAGACCTTTAAAGACATTTGAAACCTGAAGGCCCAGCAATCTCAGGACTAAAAATCTCTCATGTAGCAAAATGGTGATAGGGTGTCACAGCATTATCTGAAATAATGTATTTTGGACTCTTCTCTGTCTCTCATCCTGTATTTATCCTCCTTTGTCCTGATTTCAGCTGGGATAGAGTTAATTTTCTTCCTAGCTGGTATAGTGCCGTGTTTTGGATTTAGGATGAGAATAATGTTGATAACACACTGATGTTTTGGTTGTTGCTAGGCAATGTTTACACTAAGTCAAGGACTTTTCAGCTTCTCACACTGCCTTGCCAGCAAGGAGGCTGGGGGTGCACAAGAAGCTGGGAGGGGGGGACAACCAGGACAGCTGACCCAAACTGGCCAAAAGGATATTCCACACCATATGACATCATTCTCAGTATTTAACTTGTGGGAAGCTGGCCGGGACTTTAGACCATAGCTTGGGAACTAGCTGGGCATTGGTGATCTGTGGGTGGTGAGCAATTGTGCTGAGCATCACTTGTTTTGCATATTCCTTTACCATTATTATTCTCTTCCTTTTCTGTCATATTAAACTGTCTTTATCTCAACCCATGAGTTTTACTTCCCCCTCACCTAATTCTCTCCCCCCCCATCCCACTGGACAGGGAGCAGGGAGTGAGCAAATGGCTGTGTGGTTGTTTTAGCTGCCTGCTGGGTTAAACCATGATATCCTTTATTGTTACTACAAAGAGCCTTAGGAAATGAAAATTAAGATAAAGTCAATCACATCCTGGGCTGCATCAAATGAAGCATGACCAGCAGGTCAAGGGAGGTGATTTTCCCCCCTACACTGCTTTATTGAGACTGCCTCTACAGTGCTATGTCCAGCTCTGTGGACCCCAACATAAGAAGGAGATGGAGCTGTTGGAGCGAGTCCAAAGGAGGCCACTGTTAGAGTGATGAGGCACTGGAACAGGTTGCCCAGAGCAGCTGTGGGTGCCCCATCCCTGGAAGTGTTCAAGGCCAGGCTGGATGGGGCTTTGGGCAACCTTCATCCCTAAAGATACATCTTCAGCTATTGATCAGAAAAAACACTGGGAATGGGAACAGTGATTTCATGGAAGACCACCTATGCCTAGTACTGGGAAGAAAAAAAAAAAAAAAAAATCAGGACACATCTATAAATCTATTACTCAGAAATAGATAGGAACTATATTCTGTATTCTTATAGGACAGCAAAACTAGTCATAGATTAAAGGGACTAAATAAAAATCACTCTGCCCACAACTACTCTAGGTAAGAGCCATTATCAGGGAAATAAACAGGAAAATTTTAAGGACCATGTTTTCCTCTAAAAATGTTACACTGTATCTCTGAAAGTATAAGAATACATTTATTTTTAATACTAAACTAATAAACATAAACTAATTTAAAAAACAAGTTGAGACAGGGATCCCAGAGATGTTTATATTTAATTTTCAGAAACTTCATGTCTAAAAATATTTTAAGAAAATATCATAGACAGTTTAGAGTCAAGTTTTCAATACAGTTTAACTGACTTACACCAGAGTCTAGGTGTCTCTGATTTTCACTGGAAGTTTTAATTCCTATACAGACTTACAAAAGATGTAGCCTAAAATTTCTTTGCATCAGCACTTTCAACCTTCACAACTTCATTGAAGATATATATAAAAAAAAATTAATATGAATACAAAATCCTAACATACATGATAAAGCAAATTACATACCACAGACTCCATATCATGAAGTGTTATAGGTTTTTGGAGCATCATCTTGTAAAAAGGACGAATAAAAAAGGCTTTAAAGAAGAACAAATAAATTGAACAGTATGTAACTTAAAATTCAAAATATGCACAATATTAATCTAAATATCATATTACATAAAATAAATACCAACCATCCAAAAGTTTGCCATGGTAAACAGCCATTCCAGCTACACGACCTATAAACTTGAAGTAAGAGAGATGATCTTCATTGCAAAGTCCAGAGTTTGGATTGATCTGCAGAGTATAGTTATCTCTGAAGTTGAGCGAGGAAGCAGAGAAGAGAAAGAAAAACAACATGTTGTACTAGTGGAACAGTCCTACATTTGAAGATCTGAAAGACAGCACTGATTAAATTAGGTTTTACTTTTCATGAAGTAGAAAAAATAATCATATTTGGATTTATAAGTCACTAATATTAAACAAAACTCAATAGAGGATTCTATTAGCATAGCAGAAATAACAGTTCTGAAACACCACGAACTATCTTTGTAAGTTAGAGATATACCAAAGAGAAGGGCTTAACTCCTATTAATTTTAAAGTAGTCAGAATAACATTCTCCACATCAATTGTTACATACTGTCTCTTCTGTAAGTAGTATATGGTTGCAAGCATATGCCTGTCCATGTAAAGATGACATGGCTTACGTTAGACTGCTGGAAAAAATACAGGTACTGTCTCCACATTATTCTTCTGTCAAACAAAAAACTAAGCGCAGAATATTGCGGGTGTTAACAACTAAACCCTCCTATACAGTGGGAGTAATTGCATTTTTAAAGTAGTACGAAAAATACAATTTATTTGCTTTCCCTAACTAGTCTTCATGTCTTCCAGACCTGTATTACTTACGTAGCTGAATATTCGAACAATCCATAATAAGGATTAAACATTTCTTTAGAGAGAAGGAAGAACCATTCCCTGGCTACTCCTCCATAGTCTAAACCTTTTTCACCATCAAATTCAATCCAAAGTCTTGCTTTAAGGAAATCTGCTCTTTTTACAGCTATAATTCTTCTGTAAGAATCTTCAAGGATTGTTGTGCGATGAATTTTCATTTCAAATCTATTTGGAATATCGCTCTAAAAAAAAAAAAAAGAAAACAGAATAATAGAACAAAATCCAGCATCTTTTAGTCTTGCACAGTATGCAAATTCTGTATACAGATCAACAATGGCACACAAATCTTTTTCTTAAATAATGTCGAAACATAACATAGTATGATTGACAAGAGGCTCTATTTACATAGAATTCAACTAGCATGGAGAGCTTCAGATACTAAGTTCTATTTCATACCAACAAAATAGGGTTAAACTAAGTTCTTACTAGTAACAGCATATGCTCAGTTATTCTGCATGCAGCAAGGCATGGAATATTTTTTAACACTGAAAATTCATCATATTATAAACTTGACTAAAAAAAGCTCAAAGTTTATAAATAAAATTATTTTAGAACAATTTTACCCGACTTATTTCACCTTCTAGTTCAATATTCTAACTAAAAGGCTAGGTGTCTCATTCTCTTATGTAAGACACACATGACAAACAAGTATTCCTACAATATTAAAATAAAAATCAGTCCACTTAAAATTTTTAAGTCACAGGAACAAATCACAAGGTTTATATTTACTCTCATATAGGAAAATATTTAAATAAAAATATCCAATGAGCTCATATTTGCTGCTAAGATTCAGAGTAAGCCCCTAATAAACAGGAAGTAAAACTTTGCTGAATCATTAAATCACTATATGAGAACAGAGTATTTTCTTGATTTCACTTGTCTTCAGCAAGTTTATTTCAGGAATTTGATTGCAGTTGTGCAAAGACTCATTGTTATCTGGGTAGCCAGATGCTATTTACAGTCTTTTATGCTACATGTTACAAATGTATCTGGCAGTGCCACTTCAAACTAGAACTTGCAAATAAGATTCATAAACTCAAGATTTTAAGACTATAACAATTTATTACAGTCATCTAGCCTGATCAAGATGACAGTACAGATTTCAATCTGAACAGTCTAAAATCTATTCTGAGAACTTCTATTTCCATATTCTGAGTTCCAAAAACTATTATATGCTAGATCAGTGACTTCCAAACTTTTCTGTTGCCAGCCGACTTCCAGGTTTGCAACTTTTTTAATCTTTTAGAATTTCTACTTTTTCAATTAGATTGCTCTCAGTCTCATCACCGCGTAAAGTCACAAACCCTACTGTTAGATTAAGGCTAACTGTTACCAAGTTGTTGCTTCACAAATGTATTTGTGATCAGACAGTAAATCTACCTTCTCTAAGCAGGTTACAAAGTTCAATTTCCTTTCACTGTAACCTAAGCTTTCCTTTGGTTAGGGGCATAAGTTTCTTAACGTTCTGCTGGATTCCTACTGATTACTAACCTGTTTCTTCAATTTCTTTCTGAAGAACTCATACTTCCGTTTATAGTCCCTGGAGTAAGGCACAGCCTTTGGAAGGAAAAAAAAAAGAAAGAAAGAAAAGGGAAAGAAAAAAAGGTTTGAGATACTCTAACAATTCATGTAATGGAACCTAATCTCTATTTGCGAAACACAGACAATGAATTTTAGTCCTGAGGAAGCAGCTGTACATGTTTTACTAAGTATCAGGGGAGACTTTCAATGTATAAATATACGGACAGTTCAAAACACCTGGAATGAAGAGTACTGCTTTGTTCAGATCATTTGTTCTGATCAGTTTCATAGAATTTCTCCTGTACCTCACTATTAGCTGATGTGACTAAGATCACTGACTGGCCCAAATCAAAGTGACTAAAATGCCTTTGGTGACTTATGTAACACATAGTCTTCCCCTTCTGTATCATGAGAGACCTGGCTACAAACACCTCTATTTTCCATGGACAGAGAAGGTTGTTTACATATGTGGGCTATTAATAAACACAGATATCAGTTGAACACTAAAACCATCTATAATTATAATGTCTACGGTCTTTGCAATTAGTCCTGGTAATTTTGCACTTCAGATTAAGTATCAAGACTTGATAATTATTTTTTAGTTGGAAATGAATTTAATTCCTTTCAAAGTATTTTTTCCTTTTTTTTCCTCCCCCCCCCCCAATTTACTTCATGAATTCAAATAGGTTTATTTTGGACACCATGGATAAAAAATAAAGTTAGTTTCTTACCCACTTCAAATTCTACCCCCCCTCCCCCCAAGTCTGTAAGAAAATTTTCTTGCTACTGTGGGAACTGATTTTTTTTTCTGGCATTTAAAGATCATTTCCACATAAAGCTGCCTAAACAGTCTTTAAAAAGAAATAAAAATGCCTTGTTTAAACACCCTGGAAGTTTCATCTTCTAGACAGAGTACCTGATAAATGACAAGAGTTTGTCTGGATTCTATTAACAATATTCCTGAAAAATATGTAAAGCTACATAAAGAAAGCTTACTGGTCCAGTTATTGCCACATTCTGCAGTCGAGGATCCTCCCATTGTGTTTTCTTTGTATCTGCAAGATATTTCTTAATTAGTTCCATTAATTTAGATAACGTTCAGAAATAAAATGATGAGTGGGGAAAGAACACTACATTGTACATACTGTGATTTATGAAGAATATTCTTCCATCCGTATGAGTTCTCTCTTCCCACCCTGGCTGTAAGAAGGAGACACTTTCATTATAAGTTTCTGACCATATAGTTTGCACAGAACTCAACATGATCTACAGTTGGGGGCATTCCCCCCTCCATCCACTCTCAGCACTGGAATTCAAAATAGAGTGGGTTTTGTGAGAAAATGCAGCCTGCTTTTTTTTCATATGTACACGTTTTAATAATGCTAATTTAAATATTTAAATTGTTCTATCTGCTAAACAAGTATAAAACGGTTTACTTACTGGTAATGGGCCCAGGTCTACTGGATCTAGGGAAGTCTTTCTCCTCACATGAGCAGAAATTTTCAGTCTTGGATCTTCCTTTAAAAACAAAACAAGCAGCATGTTAAAATCCTTTTGTTGTTTTGGTTTGCTTTTATTTTTTTTCTCTTTATTAATGATTGTGTAAAGAATATGCCTAGTACCAACTAGGTAATTGTTGAATATTCTGCAGCCAGGTAGTTCCTTGGGGATTCTCAGTCCCCCAATATATATAAAAAAATCCCTCATGTAACTTCATTTTAGTGTAATTGAGTTGAATTAATCTTTGCACGTGGTTTCTGGCATACCTTCTGCTTTTTGGATTTGGTGGTTGTTTATTTTTGTTGTTTGGTTGGTTCGGGTTTTTGGGGGGGGTGGGGGGAAGGCATTTGTGTTAAATGATGTCTTTCCATAATCCTGAAGAAATGAATATTCATTTTGAATCCATTCAATGCATTTCTCTCACCTGACAGTAATACTGACCTACTCTTTAAATGCTTAAGTCCATCTATTAGCACTGCCTCGTGGTGTGCAGTGCCACTCTGTAGAACTGTAGCTATGCAACTCCCCTATCCATATCGTAGCTGCACCTGGCCTGTTTCTTAAGAATTCACAGAAAACTGCATTGTGCGTTGTACCACGTGATAAATTCAAGATAATGGATTACCTGTTGAAGGTAAGTTTACAAAACTGATTTCTGTTAACAGAGCATATCGGCTATCACTGTTTTACAGTTATGGTAGAAGTATAATTTAGGGGATGCTTTACATCTGCAAAACAGATTCCTATATACATGAGTATTTCCATCCTTCCAAGCTAAACTTTCAAGTACCAATACAGTTTGTAGAATTCATAATGTTCTACTCACAATAGATAATTTAAATGACTTTGCATGTTTATTACACATGTTCCTTAACAGACATGACACAGCTATCTTGGCACTAATCTACATAAGCTTGCTGAAAGCAGCAAAGCTTTGACTTGAGATAACTAGAATTTCAGTCTATGAGAGCAGTTTTCCATTACCCATGTTGTAGTTTTGGTATTGTGATCAATAAAGAATGGTCTCCCATTGGGTGCATGTCGGACTTCCCAGCCTTTAGGGAGAAATCCTTGCTCCACTTCAGGCTGCTGCTGAGAAGACTGTTGTGATGAATCACTTGATGTTGCTTGTGGTTGTCTTCCTATAGAAATACTTTGCGTAGCTGACAACTGACCTGTTTCTGTAGCAATCTGTGGTAAATGAGGAAGAAAAAAAAAAAAAAAAATCAAAGCCCTGTAGATCAATATATTTTTTTCTATTAACCTATATTTTTAACTCATGAAAGCAGTTTCATAAATCAAGTGCCAGACAGTACATAGATTTGTTTAGTCTAATATCAAAAACATTGACTAACGATCACTGTGCTACCAAGGTTAAAAGAAGTCTTTCAGGCTTCTCAATCAGCTATCACTCTCTAGAAGGCTTTCTTGGTACATGAATAGCAGAGTGATTTGCCATAAATATTATTGTTCCTAACTCTCATTGCATTCTCTCAGATATTTTACGTAGCATTTTACTAGTTTATGCCTTTCGCACGTTCAATTTCAAAGATGTTGCTAAACTTTACTTCTACTATGAGAGATGTTTAAAAGATTAATAAAAAGATTAATAAATTAGAAGAGAGACAGTACCTGTACAACTGGCTTTATCCAGGTAGTGGTTCTGGAATTGTGATCTATATAATATGACCTGCCTTTTTCATCTTGTCGTTCTTCCCAGCCCGGTGGTAATCCAGATGAAGTAGGCAGTAACTATATATAAGTGATAACAGAGGAAAAACAGTTAAGAAAACTATGAAACTGACTGTGAAAAGGCTTTCCTCTGTCAAATTAAAACAACAAAACTATAATCCGGAAGGGTCATGATTTTCACAAACTGGATAAAATAGAAAAGCGGTATTTAAGTCCTTACTGAATAGTATGAAGTGATAGGTTTTGTTTGTTTGTTTGGGGTTTTTGTTTGTTTTAATTCAAGCTCCTGATCTATAAGGATTCATTTATATACCCGGTTTAGGTATGGCTGATCCAGCCTAGTACTTCTTGCTATGAGCTCAGACCTTGCAGTGTCACCATGAAAACATAATGCAAGGATGGTGGTACAGCTTTTAATTACAAAGCAAACAATTTGAAAAACAACACTCTCATCTTCATGGAAAGATTACTTCCTTCTGCAGGCTCCATCCATGCATTAAGCTAATGTTAAATCAAAACCACAAGCTTGCAACATGAAAGCTTTACAACTGAATTCCAATCTTGCTAGACTCATAACTGCAATTTTGTCAGGACAGTTGCCAGAAGCAGAAAGCCAAATCTCATTTAAAATGTAGTTAAAAAGAAGTTTTACATGAAGGAAATCCTTCAGCTTCTCTGCTACACAGGCCTGTGTTTTTTGGAAAACGACGTACCACTGGATGTGCAGGCTGCTCTTCAACTCTGTATGTTTGCAGACTACCTCTTCTGCTGGAATGGTTCTTGAAGTAGTGAAGAGGAATGACATATTAGGTATTATTGCAGCTTTAAGGATGTCAGCAAACAGTCAACAATGGTCATCATGCTTTAAACTATTACAGTTTTCATCTTGAACAAAGTGCCTTATTTGTTTTGAAATGTTGATTTAATATTTTTGAAACACCTGTTTTAACACTGCTAGAAACATTAAGTTCACAGTGTCTATTATAAAACAGAATAATACAGAAGCTTGGGAAAGTTCTGAAAACCATAACAATAGATGTTTTGGCACATAAACATTAGTTAATTGCAACTGGTTACATTACAATTGAATTTACAGCATACAACTTACTGTGTTATCTTGCCAGTAGACTAAAGCCTGTGATATATCAGAGCTAACACAACTTTTCAGAGAGTAGATTAAGTTAATAATGACAAGATACGAGAGTCTGAGACATCCAGTTTGCAAAGAGTAATTCAATCCCTGAACTTTGCATAAGTATCTACCTTTCTGCCTAGAACCATATTTAGATCTCATCTGCTACAATTCAGCAACTGTATTTCATCTTGCTCCAGAATTTCCCCAATTATTTGAAGGATTTTTCCCTATCTGTGTACCCTTTTAGAATTCTTCAAAGAAAAAGCATGATTAAGTTTTTAAGTTTTTTTTTGAGCGGGGGCGATGGAAGTGAAGGGTGGTAAGACTGTCAGTCTAGCTGGCTCTTGCAAATAATTTGAACATCTGCCTCTTCCTTTGCTTAGGCCACCCAAGCAAGCTGAAATAAGTTTTCTTGCTATCCATAGGATTCCGAATAGCAAAGTGTTGTTACTCTCACATTGCTATTTCCAGCAACACTACTGATGATGCCTTTGTACAAACTTAGAAAAACACAGTCAACTCCAAATTTACATTTGGAATGGCATTCTCAGCATCACAAAAGCTTAAGATTTTATTTAAATACCAATACCAAAATCTTACAGGCTAGATAGTCTGGGTCACCTCTACATGCTTTCCTCAATGGACAGTGGATTTCTCAAGTCACATATCAGGTTACAAGGCTGTTCGTGAAGCTCGAGTTTCACAAGACAGCTGAGCTTATTTAATTGCTTGCTACCACCAAAAAAGACAAGTCCCACTCGTGGCTATGTGCTCCTGCTGCTTCCCCTTTGCCAGCGTAGTATTTGTCAGACAACCTAGCATGCTATTTCAGCTTGTAAAACTGCAAAAAAAGAGTTGAGGAAAAAAGAGGATAGTTTTCTGCTGGGTTAACAAGCTGAAGAGACTCACTGATAGGTCAGACAAGTTTCATAACTGGCACAAGGGCTGTAGAGCTGTATGATCAAGGTCCCTTTTTCACTGCTATGGAGTCACCAGGTTTACTGAGCCCAATCATAAAATCTTATCCCAATATTCACAATGAAAAATAAGTTATCTTGAAACTTGTCCTAGTGGAAAAAGTAGCCAATATAGCACAACTCCCTTAGAAATAAGCTTTCAGCATATAGACAGCCTCCTTCATCTGTAGGTTTCAGCAGCACTCAGTATGACACTAGAATAAGAGATTTACAGATTGCAAAATAGTTCACGCAAGTCTGTTTTAATCTCAGGCAGAAATTCATATAAGTGAAGTGGGGAAAAATAGAATGTTTGCTTAGATGGGATTCTATAGTAAAAAGATTACTCTTCAATTCTCTGCATTCGAGACAAAATTTACAATGTAATTGTTAATCTGAAGTATTTATGGATCCAATTCTACCAGTAGTAACATTTTGTGCATAATATTATAGATATTTTTGTACATTAGAACAATAAGAAAAAATAATTTACAGTGTAGGCTGCTGACTGGCTGGTAGCTGAACTTCCAGAGGTAGTAAGTCTGGTATTCAATTCTTCTGCAAGATGAGTCTGTATATCACAATTACTCTGCGAGAGAGGTATTTGAAGGTTCTGATTGCTATACATTGTTGCCTCATCTTCAGTTATAATTTCCCAGCTCTTTAAAAAGAAAATAAAGAAAAAAAATTTTTTTTAAGTAGTTCCAAGTTACAAATAGTTAAGACAAGTCTTTTTTGACTAGACTAAAAAGTTACTTGCATTTCAGGAACATTTAGAGATTGTTTTTACCTCGGGGGAATCTCTGTTGTCTACATTTTCTGTATCCTCTGATATCTGTCGCCGATGAGTGAACACATGCTGGGCTTCCAACTGCACAGTACCAATATCTGCAACAGCTACGTTGTCCCTGTTGGCAGGGAGGGGAAGTCAGCATACAGTAGCCATATTTTATCTTTCAACAGTAAGCTAGGCTAACAGCAAAAACAAACATCATAGTCATTTTGGCAGAAGAAAAAGAAACAGTCATAAGCTATAAAAATTAATGTAAACTGTTTAAAAAGAATAAGCATTCATGTCAACGTGAAGTGTAAGTTACGCTAAAGAACCAGATAGCATTCCAGGTATCATTTTTGTAATTGACATGCTAAGGGTTAAAAAAAAAAAATTTCTGAAAACAACCAAAATAAATAATTTAATGCAGTCCCTGCTTGCAAGGAGGAACCAGGCTTAGAGCTGGAAAATAATTTCCTTTCCATTACTACAGTTATTATCTCTTACAATTGCAACCAGTTTCTATTTGAATGCATACTTCCAGAGAACAGGAAGAGTACTGCGCAGTTAAAATGGCCACTATCCAGTGACCATTACATGTGGGCTTGATGGTTAAACTATGGAAAGCTCTCTACTAATTCTCAAGCTGTTCACTTTCTAGTTCTCCTTGCTTTCAGTATAACTAGAGTGAACTAGTTACACAAGTTAAGACAAGACTTGAATTTTCAGGCCAAAAGACATACTGAGCAGTTGGTCTTTTCCACTGTGTTCTTCTGAATTCATGATTGACATAGTAGGTCCTTCCAAGGATGTCTTGCCTTTCTTCCCAGCCTGAGGGCAGTGGAGGAGATTCCTGCTGCTGCTGTTTGGGCTGGGGT